GCCACCGCTCTTCTACACCGACCCATGCCAGCCCAACCGCACACCCACGCTTCAAAACCTCTGTCACCCAACCAGGGATCTGGCGTGTGTCTCCTGGAGCTGAGGGGATAAATCCCACGCCTGGACGTAGAGCTGGAAAGCCACCTGCAGCCCTCTGGAGCTCGCAGCGTCTGGCAGGGCTTATGCGCTCAAAGCCAAGACGACCCGCAGACGGTGTTGTCTCACCTAACTCTGCTCTGGAGTACTCTGAACTTATGTTGTCGATTTGTTGAAGAAACACCACGCAACCAAATCCATCCCCTACCAGGCCGGATACCCAATGCTCCACCAGCCAGGGCTGGATCTCCTCTTCCTTGCTTTCCTCCCTCCTGCGATGCTCCTTTCCTCTCTTCCCTCTGCAGCTCCCCATCCCCTCTGCACGGGCGTGAAGCTCCGGCACAATGCCAAGGGATGGAGGAGAGCAAGAGACAGGACTAATGCCACGACATCCCTGCTTGAAGGCCAAAAAAACCCACCACAAACAACAGCCTGGCCACTCCCCAGTGCCTATTGTTTTCGCAAACTATTTTTTGCTGTAAGTTATAACAAATCATAAGCCTCCTAATTAAAGCATGCGATGTGCGTGCCGGAGCGAGAGCCAGTCGCTCCAGGGCGGCTTGTCTGGGAACAGGCCAGGCAAGAGAAGCTTCGCAGGGCTGTCCTATCAAGATATATCAGACGTGATTTGGAAAGACCGTCTCAGGGGAAAGCTCAGTTTCCCTGGGTCACTGACTCTGCTATCCCTGTTCAGGCTGATAATTAAGCTCACGGAACGGGTGTTTTCATCGCAGAAGATAAAGTACACCTTGGCCGAAGTTGGGGTAACACCTGAGCCTTGAACTCCAAGTCACTGCTAAATACTTGTGAGGCCAGAAGCGTCCAACTAAAACCTTTTAAACCCAAGACACTTGGCTCTTTCAAAAGGTTTTTCTTAAACAAAAAGATCTCCAACTCATAAGGGCAAGATCCTCACAGCTACAACTCCTACCTGCCCCCTCCCCAGAAGGTGAGAGCATCATCTGCCCACCCAAGGGTGGATGAAGATGCCAAAAGCTCAGTCCCACCTGCAGCAGAGCGGCGCCCAAACCACGCTAGCATGGTGGGACGTTCTGCAGCAGCCAGCGCTGCCATGCCGGTTGCGTTCACATGGCATTAGTCAGTTGGCAGAGCACTGACTAATGTGCTGTTCGCTACGGGACAGATTTTAGACGTGTAACGGGTCATCACAAGAAGCCTACAGCTTGGGTAGTGGAGCTACAGGACCTCAAGGCCCTGCTTTGGCATAAACGGCGAGGAAACCCCAACAGCCAGACTACCCTGAAACACCAACGCTATTAAAGCACATGCTACGCTTGAAGCCAAACGTGCTCTCCTGCCCCTCAGCCTTAGCTACTGAAACGTAAGCCATCAATAGGACATTGAGAAAAGCTTGCCATGCTTGGCGGTGCTGACCCTACTGCTTGTTCCTGTGATGCCGAGAGGGTAGAGTACCAGGTCTGTCGGCCATCACATCGCTTGTTGCCTCCATCATGGGTTTGGCTGTATGGATCAGTCCACGGAGCCTTACCTGAGCACAATCCTCCAGCTGGAGCGGGCTAAGATGCCTGGAAGAACCACGTTGAACCACCACCTGCACCCTGCTGGGTGTCCACCAACCAGCCTTTGCCACTCAGAGTGAGTTTTCAGCATGGGAGAAGATATGCACCGCTTCCTCGGAGAGCAGGAATGGCGTGCACAAGCCCAGGCTGAAAACTTACCCCGCTGGGGAGTGTGAGTGTGTGTTGCGATGGGTATGTAGCAGTGGCCAACACTCCTCGCGGGTTAAGGAGTCGGAGTGTACGAGCCCTGTAAGCCAAGGACTTACAAGTCCTGTGTATAGAGGTATAGAAAAAGATAGCTCACTTAATCCTTTCATGCCAGGAGTTGGGATTTTCCCGGAGCGACGTCCATTGCCGGCAATGGACACACCAAAATAACGTCGGCATCAATGAGTTAACCACCTCTGTCCTCTTTTCACCTATTATATTGCTCATGCATCATCCAGCTTCCCAACCATCTTCCCGTTTCTTCACCGTATGCACGCTATGTCCTCTCCCTTCTTCAGCACGGAGTTGAAAATGGAGTTGAGAAAAGGAGACACATGGTCAGCTCCTTGCTGCCCTGAGAAGCTAGATGGAAATGGTTGAAATTACAAGGGGGTCATCAGCAAGACTGGAGAGGACATAGCTTAAGTTACGAGGTTTCAGACCCTCCCGCCCCCCCCATCCAATGCCAGTTATTGCAGATGTTCCACCACTCAAAACAAAACCAGCTTTTAAAAAGCTTGGACGTGCTGGAAAAGGCACCCGGCTCTTTTGCCACTGGGGCGACCGGGTCTTCCAAGGTGACTATCCATCCCCCTTCCACCTAAAGCATTGCCCTGCCAGCTTAGTCTTTTCTTTTAGACATTGGCCACCTCCGGGCTGTCCTATGGTGGCATCTTAACAGGTGAGAGTCGGACAGAAGCAGTTAACTCTTAGTGCCACGATAAAGTCCAGGACAGAATTCATCCCCAGGTCACAGTTTCCCCACGAATGCTTTACAGAAGAAAAATGAGTTTTCCCAGACCCATGGCATGATGCTGCTTTTTTGGGTCAGATTTGCTGGGATTATTACAAAGCTAGGGCTTGTGAGATGCACCCCCATCCCTACGACCAGAAACGAGGGCTGCATCAGGCTATTAGCATCCTTGCAAAGACATGAGGTTAATTAGTAAGTACACTAGAACACGGATAGGATGTGAATCCACATCTTAAACCACAACAGTGACGGGTCGTGACTCCACAGCCTGACCACGGGCTTCAGCAAAGGTCTCTAGATACCCAAGGCTGAGCTCCTCCAAGCTCAAAAGAAAACACAAGCCTCGGTGATAAAATGACACCGTCAGATCAAATTTGGTCTCAGACCAACATTTTGGAGGAGTCACTCGTTTTGTGAAACTTTGCACTTTTCATTAGTGGTGTTCAACATTTTTGCTGTGCTGTTTCAAGTTCAAACACCGCAGCACGTGATCCTGGCAGTGAACACGTCCTGTTGCAAACAGAACTGAGTCTGGGTAGTCCAAAGCCAGTCCATCTCCAAAGCAGTGTAGGACTAAGACTTGACTTAGCTTTCAGTTTAAACAATCCCAGGTATTAGCAATGGATGGAAAAGGACTTTGTTTCAATTTAACCATAAATTCAACCCGACAGTGTCGCTTCAATAAAGAAAATCGTGAGGCCCGTACAAATTTTAGGAGTCTGCAAATTAAAATCTAGTAAACGATGTATCACAGATCCACTTGGTAAAGAGGGGAGGGGGAAAAAAAAAAGAAACATAAGCTAACTTCTCTATAGAAACATATTTTAGTTGTTTGCACCGTAAAGTCTCACCTCTTCTCCCACTAAGATTTATGGCACAAATGCTTATGCTCAAATTCTGCAAGTGTTCAAGAGTATCTGATTCTTCTGAAAAATTCAGAGGTTAAGGTAAGATTTCTCTTAAGACTTATGTAAATCTCTAGATACGTTTTATAAATGCTGATGTTGGTAGCTACAGTCGCTGAACGGTACAAGGAAAAGTTCACGGACTCAAAGCTTGCTGCGGTCTCCCCCATCTGCGCGTGGCACTGCAGTGTGCGTATCACCCATTATTTTTATTAGCCTCTTCTAAATCATTACTCGTTATCAAATTCAATGGGTAAATCAACTCTTTAGCGATACGATGCATCGTAAAACATAAATTTGCTTAAAGACTACTTCCAGTAATTAAAACTGGGCAGACGCTTGATTAAGAGAAGGGCAGAAGACCCTCCACGACCTTTTCCACCAAGCCCACACCATGCCAGAAGCACAGCAGCGCCTTCAATTCCTTTGCTTGATCCCCAGCAAATGCTGCTTTTACGCTTATTAAAGTGTAAAGGCAACTTAAAGGCTCCCACCCCTCTTGCTCTCAAATATGATATAAGGAATAGAATATAAGGAATATAATCCTACAGAAACAGCAGATGGGCGAGGAGTTTCCAAATACCTAAAGAAACCCCAGGAAACGCCTGAAGCGTTGAGTGGCGAGTTACTGGAACACCATCCTGTGTCTCATCAAAAAAAGCTGTCGGCCGAAGATCGAGCGGCCAAGTTGGCCACCTACGCTGCGTGGGGACAGGGGCCTGATTCTGGAGGAGAGAAGGCAGCCCGCAGCCACCAAGCCCTTCTCTTAAAGAGGTTATCTGCTCAAGAAAGACCTTGATGGGAGTGAAACCGTGAGCAGCTGCACACTCTAGCCGTCTTTAAAGGCTCAATTAACACCCACAAATCTGAGTATCTACCTGATCTAAACACCAACTGCAAACACACAGAGGTTAACCCAGCACTACTATTATCGAGAGAAGGCGACACGGCCAACAGACCGGTTTCTGGAGGCTATACGTTGCGGATGAAAAGCAGATGTTGACAGGACAGGAAACACTGGCGATGTTGTGATAATTGAATTTAGGAGTAGACAGTCCGTCAATTTGTTTCAACGTTGATGGGTACTGGGCCACTTCAACCAAAAATGTTTGTGGCGCTGTCGCTAGCCTCTTTTTCTGATCGGTTGAGAAGGGAATCTCAATCCCTTAGAGCTGCCCTCCCCCTGAACAGCCTAAAAAACATAACTGGATGACTAAGGTGTCTTTGTGGCACCCAAACTGAATTATCTCCTGCTTTCAGTGTGCAACGCACCGACGCCTGGAAATCTACGGTAAGTCACGTACAGGGCAGTTTGCAATGAAAGGATATATATAGAAAGCACCTGGAGAAGCCCTTTTGCATAGAAAAGGCAATCTTAGTTGTCAAACATTTACCAACAGGACAACAACTTAGCCCCGTTTGTACTGAACCGCAAACAACTCTGCATTTTCCTCAGCAAGAGCAGAGGTGGTGTAGCTGCAGGTAGGTGCCTCTTACCTTGAGCTCCTTCCAGCTGTCGAGCAGCCTGGTAGCCAAATCGCTCACATCCACAATTTTGTCTGTTTGTTCTTGGCTTCTCTCGCTCTCAACATCGGATACGCCTTCCTCTTCGTCTTGAGATGGCGTTTCCATCGTAATGGGCTCTTCCAGCTTCGCACCGTTGCTGTCTTTGACCTCTGCTTCAGGCTCAGCCTCCAGCTCCGCAGCTTGGGGTTTGCTGCTCTCCACCGGCACATCAACGGCAGCTTTGATCTCCTGCTGCTGCTGCTGCTCCTCCGACACCTCCATCGGGGCACCCTCCAGCTGGTCCAGGTCCTCTTTGCCCTCCTTCCCTTCCAGCTCACTGGTTGTATCCGAGATGGCACTGTCCATGCTGTTTTCACTTATAATTTTCAGCCTTCGAAACACCAGCTTCTTAGGGGTGTCCGTGTCACCTTCCGCGCTCTGCTTGGTGGAAAGATCTGGCGTGTTGAGCGGCGTGTGAGCCCGTGAGGTGTTCTCGCTCGAGTAGCCATCCCCTTCGCTGAGCTGCGGGACAGCAGTCTTGGTCTGAGCCCAGCGCTGAATAATGGGAAGCACTTTGCTCTCCTCCAGCATGTTCTTGGTAGGTATAGGCAGGAGCTCTAGTGTCTTCATAATCTAATCGCAAAGACAAAAATCACATTGTTAGAGCCATTAGAATTTAAAGCCGTCTCCAACCTGGAACAATTTCCTTTTCTCAACAAGAGGTAACTCTGAAACATCAATACGATGGCGACAGGTCACGGGTCGGGGATAGCGGCATCCCTTCTCAAAGCTGAACTGCAGCGGTGAACTTCTGCTGAGAGCAAATAAACCCTGAGTGGGTGGAAAACAGTGAGCACAAGTATTTAGCAATTAAACTAATTTAGCAATTAGTTGCAATTAGACTGATTTCGAAGAGCTCAGACGCTTATGGCTGGCTGTACCCATTCCTAGGGCAATCAATGCAACAATACAGTTAGATATGTTACGTGAAAGAAAACCTGACCAGAAACGTCAAGATGTATCAGCAGTCAAAACAGAAGAGATCGACCCAAAAAAGTTTGCAAACTAATACCGGGAAAGCTTTTTCCTCGCTTGACAGAGGCACCGTGTGCTGCAGCAGAAGCTGGAGCGTTACTGGCGTCAGCGGGAGGGAGACAGTCTGCTGCTCGAGGAGCTAAACCTTAAGCACAAAGAGATACGGACAACTGGGGAGCTCCAAACCACGAGACAAGGCGAGCATCTCCGATACTGATGGCAGTTCCAGCTGTTTTAATCTTGCCAGAAAATGAGGCGGCTGCTAGCACTGCACACAGTACCACAACACGCTTCCAGCACCCAACAAGGCAGTCCCAGGCACAGGTATCCTCCTTTAGACACTGGGAAACACCCGGAGGTACCAGGTGATGAAGCCAACACAGTGCCAGAGACCACGGCACGGATGCTACGGTGCTTTCCCCTGGAGACCAGCTAAAAAGTTTGGTCTCAACTGGGTTGCGTCCAAGGCCTGAGATGAGAAACAAGTTATTGAAAAGATCTTCAAAATCCTTTTACAAAACCTGTCAGTGGGAACGGGGATCACGGGCACAGAAAGAAGCACCAGACGTTAAATGGGCACAACTTTTCCAGGATCCAGTAACTTCTCTCCCAAGATCAGACCCCAAATCCCTGTTTTTGAAGCAAGGGATAGCCAGCCCTTCTACAGGACTTTTCAACTTGTTCACTTTCAAAACCAGCCCTCCAGGAGTGAAGGATGGAAGATGATTTTATGGGATTACGCTAATTTCTGCCATGGGCATGTGATGGCCAAAAGACCGTTTCTCTTAAAACAATGACAGGTTTTTTTTATTTCTGCCATCTGCCATGGATGACCAAAAGACCGTTTCTCTTAAAACAATGACAGGTTTTTTTTTTAAATTTTAAAAACCAATCCACAAAGCCCCACCAAAGTTGACAGTGTATCGTGTATCGTGAGGTTTTTTTTAAAAAAAGGGGGAGGGGGAAGCAAAGTGTGATCTGGCCCCTATCCCAAGCCCCACTTGCAACTCAGTGAAGAATTACCTGGATTTTAAAAGAATATATCCAATCCACAAAACCCCACCAAAGTTGACAGTGTATCGTGACCAGATGCACCGAGAGTGAAGACGAAGCCACCACTACCACAGCAGTTCAGTTTCCCTCTTGAAAGCTTGGGGGGGAGCAGCTCTGGGTTTGAGATCAAGGAGGCTGAGTGCCTGAATCTATTCCAGGGGAAAACCAGAGTCTAACCTGACCACTGATTTCTCCAAAGCTAGAGCTCGAAGATGAGTCGGAGGCGAGCTACCCAGCAGCTCTGCAATGCCATGGCACCTGTACGTCAGGGAGCAAGAGGCAGGCACCGCATGTACAAAAATCCAGACTTGAGACTCCCTCAGAGCAACGGCCTCAACATTTATCAATTGGGATGGATCCTACCTGCCCCAAAGAAGAAAATACTGCAGTCCCAAAGGGGAATAGCTCAGCTCCCTCCTAAGAGCAGTTACTGCAACAGATTAACTCAGTCCCGGTAGATTTGGTCTCAAAAGATCTTTTTGTAGCCTCGTGAGCAGCGCCTCCCCATACAGCAACACGGGGGCGACGCACCGCGGCGAGAGGAGCGTTGACTCAGCAGCCGTCAAGCACTTCTGCTTTGGCTGTAAGTACTGAAAAGCCGTATCACATCAGCAGGAGAGAAAACTTGAGGCACCCGCTGAATCCGTACCTCGTACACAGCGTACGTGGCCCATCAGCAACAACATGCTCTGCGCAGCACAAGGCTGATGAAGTATGGGCAGGTCTACTCAAACCCTACAAGTCAGCAAGCTCTAACTTAACATCAGAGACCCCTAACCCGACAGCACTGAAGTTTTCCAGGTATTTACAGCCAAAACTTTGTCTAAGGAAGGATGGATGAGGACTAGGCGGTGCAAACGGTGGCCTTCCCATAGGACACGTTGCTGAGCGGACAGACCTGCTGTCCCTCTCACCACCAGTGACACAGGCGCTTTGAGAGAAGCGCAGAAACCATCTTATTAGGCCTGATATCGAGCTGGGCTCCAAAAATCTTCAGGTATCCTCATCCCACCCCAAGAGCTGAAGGCTCACAAAAGTACACGTAGGCAGCTCTTCATCTTCCAATACCAACAGCGCCCATTTCTCAGAGGGGACACATGAACGCACGGTGTTAAAGAGGAGAAAGGCATGGGTAGGACACGACTCATTCAGAAATGCTAAATACCAGCTTGGACAAAAACCGTGCTGAGCTAAGGAAGCAGGGCTGGGCAGGATTGTCACCGCTTCTGAAAAACAAAGGGGAAGTCAGCAGAAGAGGTGCCCTGAGCTCTAGAGCTCACGTGGCTTCTGCTTTCTTGCTCGGGATGCAGGACCGCGTGCGCCTCTCCAAACTGCACAGCAGCCTTCTTGTAGAAGCGTCTTTATTAAAGGAACTTCCAGATGTCTTCTTGCATGCAATGCCGAAGCACATATAGAAAACAGAAATATGCAAGTTCAACTTCAGACCGTCAATACCTTCAATTCCCTGTACGGGTCAGTACGGAATAAACAGCGACAGCAACGATCTTTATTTAAGCCTGGCTCATGTCACAAACTCAGAAATCTAAGAAAAACCACAAGAGCAAATTCTTTCCATATATTAAGGATTTCCCTTAAAGCAGAAGTTTTAGGCTGTAGTTTTAAGGATACCTGCAGTTTGTTTTCAGGAACACTTGGCATATGATATGTGTATTTAAAAGAAAAAGAAAAAGAAAATCATCGTGCTTCTGAGCAATTAGCGATGCTGCTAGGAAAGCTTCAAACCCGAGGGAATTACTGACCTCCAGCTGCAACTTCAGGTTGTTAGCGGTGCTTCCTCTCCCATCGCCCAGCTCCGTCATCCAAATCCAGAGGAGAGATAAGCCGTGACACTCCAGGAAGGACTTCAGGCAGGACTGCGAGTGCGTGTTCTGGATGAGCCAAAGTTAGAGAGAGTCCGTGGGAATGGTCAGAGACTTACAGGCAAAAACCCCTTTGATTTCCACAGGCTAACATGGCTAACTGCTCAGCTGGGCTTATGTTACCTCTCAAACCCATTGCAGAAGCCAGAACCAGGCACCTGCCGAGATCAGCGCACGTCTAACGTAAATTAAGCGGCCGTAACTGCCGGGTTTGGAGCAATAACGCATGCAGCAGAACCGTTACAACCATTACCTGGTGGACAGCTCGTATCGGGGAATAAAACTTAACGATAATGGATTGCACAGGAAACTGGCTGCAACTCATCCGCACGCAGTCAGAGGTAAAAATGCAGGATAATCTTGGAGGTAAGACGGTTGTGATTTTAAGCCGACAGACTACTCATTTACAGTCTAAATCCCTTACGTGCCACTTGCTTCTAGAAATGGGCATTTTGCATCGCCACCCAAGTTCTACCAAACACAAAGCGAGCGAAGGGTGGAGATTACACGCCATCTACAACCCAAGCAGAACCGCTCGGCTCGCGCTCGGGATGCTGGCACCAGTGCGAGACCTTTCTCCCACCTTCCCCCTCCTCCTCTAAGGAGAGCTCCAAGGACACTGCTTTAACAGGACATGGTTTCCTCCCCTTCAGCTGGGACCTCCTCACCTGTATGAGTTTGAGGCAGGTGAGCTTCTGCTCCAGAGTTTCAATCCGAACCATCAGCCGGGATAAGCTGAGAACTTGGTTCTTATCGGAGAGACCCTCCCCGTTCTCCAGCAGCGCTTCCAGCTCCCCGTCCACCTACCACGGCCAAAGGAAAACAACTCTCAGGTCGTGCCGGGCTCACGCCACCCTACGTGATGGCAGAGACAATCCGTTCCCTTGGCTTTGAGAGCCAGGAAAAGCCTCTCCCGAGCAACTTGCCCATCGGGAAAAGAAGCCTGGCTTGAATTTGACTCAGCGTGGTTGGGTTTCTTTCGTCTGGCCTATTACGGGGTTTTTTTAGACCTTAAATCCCCTGCCAGAGCACGCTGTTCCCACCAGCTCTGTTTATACCGGGGACGGAGGGCAGCCATTTGCAATCCTGGCTGGCACACATGCCACAGGCAGGAATCCCCCGACTCCGATGTCCGTTTCTCCTAACAAACGGCACGTTTTAGATGTTATCCATCTAACGCTGCGCGGAGGAAATTCCAGGTGCGTGCACCAAAATACCCCCAGTCGCAAGTTTATCTTTTCACATAGGAAAACAGATGTGCACTAAGAGATTATCTTTAATTGCAGATAGATTTACTTCTTTAAATACCTAACTGGTATTTATCATCTTTACAACCAGAGGCGCATTCCTCTCCATGTGGACACCGAAATATCACCGTTCACAATTTAGCCTGCTGCTCAGTGCCACCAATTAGCATTTTAAAACCACTTATAAATGACTTATAAATGATTTATTGGCTTCCTGACTCTCCGATACAGTAAATAAAAATGAAGCGGGCATTTTCAAAGGTAGCTTCTCCCAAAAGAGCAGGTAACAAATCTTATTTGTAGGAACAGAGACGTGTATCTTCAAGGAGAGAACAATTACACCTCGCAGGAAGCAAAAGGAGGCCGCCCCGTTTCTTGCAGCATTCTGCACCCAGGAGACACTCCTTTTGACTGCTCTGCTCAGAGTTCTCTGCAGTTTCCTACATCTACCACGTCAACCCATCCCTGCAATTCGATGTGGGGAGTAGGTTCATAGATGAGGATTTCATGCGTGAAAAGCTATAAAAAGACTAAAAAAAGTCTGGATCGAAGTTACGTGGTTCATTCACGTCCATCTGCAAACACAACCGTAACTGAAGTCAGCAGAGATATGACACATGTTCATACAAGTCCCTCCTGGAAGCTGACTTGCCTCTAGGCCAAAGCAATTAAGAGATTCCAATTTCACATCCCAGCCTGGAGATGGCAAACATCTGCACCCTTTCAGCTGTCAGACTCCAGGTAATGTCCTAAAGGGTGAAGCCGGTATCGCCCGTCTTTCACCGACATTTAAAAATCACGCAACACAAACCAAATTTTTAAAACCACGTAGAATTTAGCATGCTTTTTAGTAGCATGCAGTATTGATGACCAGATATTGTACCTGCGAAAGTCCCTCTCTGGTGGGACTCTGTGCTAAGCAACCCAGAGAAAGGAAATACAGATTTAACTAAAGCTCCAAGAAAACACAGGTATTGAGGGCCCCTGTGAAATAAAATGATACAAATACGCCCATGGAAAAGACTGAACCCTGAGATCATCACGAGTCATTGACCGCAGAAGACGACTATAGAGGTGACCTGAAGGCTCACGTAGAGAGGATCAAGCCCAGGGTCAGTCCTCGGTTGCTGCTACTCTTAGAAATAAATAAAATCACACATACGTGGGAGAATCAGACTCACCGAGTCCTTCTTACGGGAGCGCTCCTTTTTCATTTTGCCTCCGGCGGCTCGGATGCTGACCCTGTTCTCTCCTCCCAGGTAACCCCGGCAGTTGGCCGAGCCGCAGAAACATTTCTGAGCCTCTTTGCTGTTGGTGGGCATAAACAACAGAGCAGTTTAATAACAGATCAACTGCACCCACAGCTAGTTGTTTTACCTCACTCTTAAGTGCAGCTTCAGAAGAAAGGGACAGGAACTTCTCTGCGCGGCAAGGCCTTTCTGGCCACTGAAAATTCAAACAAAGTCTTTATTTCTTAGGTAGCTACCGTGGTCCCACGTCGTCTCCGCTGGAAACCAAAGCCTGCTTTGCTGTCAGGCTCTTCGTAGGTCAAGAACCAAGAACCAGAAAGGAAAAGGTGGGGCTGTTGGGTCTGCTAACTTCCTACCGCACATTGCAATCAATATATTGATTTTCCTAATGCATATATAATCAAGATTACATATGCATTAGGAAAAAAAGTCTTGCATTTTATAGCTCAAAACAGAATAAGGAATGGGCTGAGGATTCATGGAAGTAGTAAAATCCAGGTGGAGGATGGTTTTCTGCACAGCTACACAGCAATGGAGAGCAGAAGAGATATATTATATTCAGGCAATATTTCTACAAAGCCTCCATATTTTCTACTTGACATACTATAAATTTTAAACTATATATGCCACAATTTGGACATGAGGAAAAATGTCTTTACTGAAAGAGTGGTTAAACATTGGAAGAGGCTGCCCAGGGAAGGGGTTGAGTCCCCATCCCTGGAGGTATTTAAAAGACGTGTAGATGAGGCGCTGAGGGACATGGTTTAGTGGGCATGGTGGTGTTGGGTCGACGGTTGGACTCGATGATCTTAGAGGTCTTTTCCAACCTCAATGTTTCTATGATTCTAATTGCTTGGGAGAATGGGGGTTTTTTTTGGAAATGTACATAATCCACTGGAGGAACGTGGCTCTGCAGTACTAGCAGTGAGAACCAGGGAAGCTCAACTGCAGGATCTTCTACGAAGCAGAACCTGAGCTCAGGAAAGATGCCCAAGAGATCAGAGCTGGAAAACTCCAGCGAGACAAGACTAGGTTCACTGAACTCAAATAGACGAGGTATCAGAGTGAATCAATATAGCAATGGATGATGCTCCATCAGAGAGGCCCAAACAGGGCCATAACATGAAACCCTAATAATTTTGACTAAGCCTTATACAGACAAAAATAAAATTATAGGTGTATAGACTGCATCTTACGTGACCTTCCTCAGCTTTAGAGATATTCCCACGTGCCCAGAAATCAAACAGGCCTTGCTGCAAGAGCAACCAGAAGGGCTGAGGCTAAGTTTGCCTTCCTTCCTGCAAGTTTGCACCAGGAACAGAAAACTGCATGACAGCATCTGACACTTTAGCACAAATAATTTTATAATGCAACTAAAAATTCCTTTCCGATTCTCCTGCTTATAGAAAGAGCCGTAGAGTTGCAGAAGGCAGGATCCAGAAGGAAAAGGAAGAGACGCTCCTTAAACAGCTGTATTCAGTAAAAAAAGTTTAGGGATTATAAAACGGATTGACAATCTCGTAATTACAGGTTGCTTCAAGCCTGTCAGACCCTATTTTGTGCTCATCACAATAAAGAGAGTGAAATACTTTGCCATACACCCAGACGAGCAGTAATATAAAAATATTCGGCTCAGGTTTAGAGAAGGGAGCCAAAGCCCACGCTGGAGCTTGCACACCTGCAGTTCTGGAGTCGGACAGGAAGAGGGAACGTGCTATCTGTGGGGTTTTACAGCTCCGCAAGTATTTGCAAAGTCGTAAAACAGGGGTGGGTGGGGAAGAAGAGGCATTATTTAAGAGCATTGCAAAGTCTGGAGCTTGGGTAATTAATAATTAGACAGAGGAAAGAAACAGTCAAGATAATTATCTGGGAAATTTCCACTGGGGAGAGATGGTATGAAATGGAGCAAAAAGGCAATAAAGTGACACAGGAAAAGCCGTATCGAATCAACAGGAAATTCCTCTCCCAATCTCTTGTGTTACAAATGGAAGAAACTTTATCCAGGTAGCTTTTCATAGAGTTGAATTCCAGTTCATTTACAACTGCTCTGTTAGACGAGGCTTTGCAACGGTTTGTTTCGGAGCAGGATTTTTTCATTGCACCAACGCTCACAAAACCCCACTTCCAGCAGCTTAGCAGAGAGAGAGCTGAAACGTACCCGTATCTCTGGAACTGGTAATCAAACGTCAGCTCTGAGCCCGACGGGACTAGTTTGGTGGTGAAAAATCCAACTCTGAGCTGCCCGTTCACAGTCCACTAAGGCAAGGAAAAAACAAGATGACAACGGTTATGACAAAAGCCAGGCTTGACTCTGGTTTTGCTTTAAATTAACAAGACTAATCCTTCAAACAGCATCACTGATAAATTTAAAATTTGCTAACTGGGTCGGCAGTGCTTGCCCATTTCAAAGGTAGCTGTTGCCGTTTCACTAAGTTACAACAACAACAAAGAAAAACAAAACAGAGAGACGTAAAGATAAAGGAGAAATGCTTTTCACTCTGAGCTTGCTAAGTCGCAAGGCAGTGGAAGTGAGAAGCCAGCAGCTTTGATCCAGCAGTTTACCTTTTGTGTCTCGCAGTTTGGTTCACAGCTGTGGTTCATAAAACGAGAGCAGTTTCCTTTCTGGGTAGCATCGATTATCTGAAAAGAAACAACAAATAGAGCGAAACAGCCTCCCTGCCTCTGCAGCAGGCAGAGATACGAAGCGGTATAGCTACGAACACCGCGGGTTTGAACACAACCCACGTAGAAGTCATCACCCTTTCCTTCTCCAGCAATCAACTTCATTTGGTTTGGAGAACGGGTTTTATAATGATATTAAGTGCCCCCCAAAAAGAAGAGCACTAAGCAACTGGTACATGGTTCTTAGTTTTCATTGCAGGTTAATACCGAGTTCTTCAGTTGGGCGGGGATCCTGAATTTTTAATATCTGTTTCTGACCCTCTGATACGTGGGACAATGACCATGAGGGCTGGGGAAGCCGAACATCTCTGCCACACGCATGGCACTCGAATAGAAAGACCGTCTCCTGGATGACTGCGTCCTCCCTTTTATAACTGAAAACGCTCCCCTGTGCCCCCTTGTGATCACATAACAATCCCAGGGCAGCTACAAATATTGCTTACTTTGGGGGAAAAAAAGAGGAAAAAAGCACTCGGAGTATTCTTAGCTCATTTACTGTAAAGCTACCCAGACCCAAAAAGTCTTGACAGAAGAGACAAGCCGAATACGGCATTAAATTTCTATTTATACACTTTGTTCTCAGCAAGGGAGGGCCCGTCGCCCAAGGTAAGCAACGCTGCGCGCTCTGCGTCGCAGCTCTGCGATCCCATAGAGCTGAAATAGCTGCTAAGCAAAGATAAATAATTTAGAACTTCTGGTATATAAATATTTCAATGAGAGCAATCCTGCACGTAGGGACTCCACCAGCTGAAAGTGGCCCAATTTCATGTAGCTCTGCGAGCAAGGGAAGCGAGGAAACGTGGTCTATTGGTACATTTTCTAGACTGGTTTACTTGGGCATCCAAGAACATCGCGTTTGGCTTGAAACATCTCCCGGAGCTGGGACACAGACGGGGTTTCTCTCCCACAGAGGTTTGCTCGTGTGGAAGGGATGGGCCATACTCCATCCTTTCCCTTGGGAGGACAATTTCTCCTCTCCAAGGACACTGGGATAGAGTTAAGCTACCAGACTGCTGTTAAACCAGGTTGAAACTGAGCAATGGGTTAAAAAAACCGTAAGGTATGACAACACAAAGCCAGCCAAAGTTTCCTTTCCTTAGGAAAACATTTCTAATAGATTCAGGACGTTGCTTAGTGGGTTCACAGGGAGTCGGCGCTGTACGTAACCAGGGCTAAGCCCAGCCAGCCTCCCCCGAAGCCAAGCACAGCAATCGCACTGCTCACCTCGTCATTCTTCAGGGCCATGAAATAATAGTGAATGTTCTTGTTCCGAGCATATTCCTTCACACGAGCCTTGAACTCTTTGTGATCCAGCACTTCTCCGCAGTACTCCAAGACAAAAGTGTTGCTGCAAAGCCCAAGAGGAAAAAAACATCACTCCGCTTAGCCGCAAGCAAGAAACACCAAGGAACAGAAAATAACTGCTGCTGAGACGGGCTCTCTGAATACAACTTGCAGCCTGGTCATCCTGGTGGTGTAGCTATGAGTATTATACGCCTTAATCTCAGGCAATTCTGGTTAATTTATTTTTTTACGCTATCACGTGGGTAGGTATATCACAGCGAAAAGCCCAGACACAAGAACAAAGCTCCCCTTCGAGCAGAGTTTATTCTGTAAAAGAACAAGACCTTGTGGGCAACGTGAAGAGGAAAATAAGGAGTATTAAGAGAAGGTGCTGGCAGGTGGTTTTCCTCAATTGAAACAGAACGCCTGTCTGCACCTTGCTGGTGGGTGAAATGAAGGGTCAATAAAATATCCTTTTTAACCAAAGGAAAGGTGAGTTTAGAAGCAGAGATGGAAGAGAACAACTAGTTACCCCCACACTGAGACACAAACCTCACAGATTGCATTCTGCAGCACAGCCAGGTTTTAAAACCTCCGGTCTACCAAGATGCATCATGAAACAACTTTTCTTGATATCTGTCCTAAGTTTTCCCTTGCTTAATATCACCCTGAACCCTTCAACTCTTTCCTCTCCCTTAACCGGGAGAGCACCAGGAAAGCAAAAGCTCCTGCCCAGCTCCACCTGGACCAAGCATTCAGTGTTTTGGGCAGGTTATCACTCACCCCATTTCCTTCCCATCATTAATCCCAGCCCCTCGCACAGCACCGTGGTGGCCTTCCAGCCCACACGTACAGATCATGCCCATCTTCCCCCACCTCCGTGTCCACCCAGAAAAAGGCTCTGGTACGCTAACCCACTCCTTCAGCTCATAAGTCAGCCGTAGCTTTCTCCTAGATACCTCCCCAGCCTGCAGAGACCAACATGAAGGTGTCAGCAGTGGTCTTCTCATGACCTGCTGCTTAGTTGGGTTAGCTCCCCTCAAAGTCCCCACCGCAAAACTCCAAGCCTGGGAAACGGGCGCAGCGGCAGGACAGCGAGGAGAGCCGAGCTAGAAATACCTTTGAACAAACCCCCATCAGGCGGGACGGGTCATCTCCTGGGTGTATAACCACTCCACCCTTCGCTGGATTTGTGACAGTCCACAGACTGTCTTCTGGTGGGATGACTACCCAGAGAAGGTTGTCTTCTCCCAAGACAAGCTTTAGTTCCGCAGCAACGTTCTGCCAGTCTGCAAATCTCCCTCCAAACGACAGCTTTTCAGAATAGCACACACACAAACAAAAGCAATATTCCAGATCAAGCGTTGAGGAACCACGTCCAAATCCCTTCACACGCAGGCCAATTGCAGTAGGTACTTTTGCGGCCCTTGTTGATTTATTTACCCTCTTACCCAAGGCGGTCTTCACATGGTTATCTCACTCCCATCTTTCTCAACGTTCCTGATCCTACCACACCTAGCAGACACAACGCTTGCTATGGTGAGCGGTTCACTATCAGCCATATCTTTACTACGACCTCCATTCCTTGTCATCAAAAGAAATTCCCAAAACTTTAAATAAAACTGGACCTGATATTTCCATACGGGGCAGCAGCACTGCTTCAGCCCCCATCACTACCGCTTCCCTGTGCACGCGTTATTCCAAAAACAACAGGACCCTGCTCTTGCAGAGGCTAGGTCCAGCGGCACCAGGGACTCCCCAGGTTATCTGGCAAATCTGGAAAATCAGGAGCTAGAAAATGCCACGATGCTCACCCTCTTCTTCGATACAGTTGCTGTGCAACAGAACAGTGATGGAGAGCGCTTGCTCGTTTCAACAATCGCTTAGCGCTGTTATCTTTTACATAAACTGAGCGTGAAGGCGCTCTCGGTTAAACATACCGGGTTGAACACGCAGAGTTGTTTTCACTGCATTTTAGATAACTTGGCATACCTCTCTAAAGCAATCAAAACTCTTCCCCGTTATCTTCCTGTGAATTAGTCTCATATATTCGATATAGCAGTAAAAAAACTCTGCCGTAAGACCTATAGCTTTCTTAAGCGTCAGAAACATTGCTGGATTCCTCAGAACTCTTTGTCTTCAACAGAAGCAAAAAAAAAAAAAAAAAAAAAAAAAGTGCAACAGAACAGTGATGGAGAGCGCTTGCTCGTTTCAACAATCGCTTAGCGCTGTTATCTTTTACATAAACTGAGCGTGAAGGCGCTCTCGGTTAAACATACCGGGTTGAACACGCAGAGTTGTTTTCACTGCATTTTAGATAACTTGGCATACCTCTCTAAAGCAATCAAAACTCTTCCCCGTTATCTTCCTGTGAATTAGTCTCATATATTCGATATAGCAGTAAAAAAACTCTGCCGTAAGACCTATAGCTTTCTTAAGCGTCAGAAACATTGCTGGATTCCTCAGAACTCTTTGTCTTCAACAGAAACAAAAAAAAAAAAAAAAAAAAAAAAAAATCAGAGTTTCCACGGAAACTCACTAAAATATCCAGAGTTACAGAAAATCTTTGAACAATTAAGCTCTAGGCAGATTTGTCTTGAAGCTCAGTCTCTGGTGCGCTTGACACTGAACAGACTCATCATGCCCATCCCACGGCCTTTTGAGATGGAAATCAGAGCCCGGTGGAACTCTGAGTACACAGCACTGCTTCCCCACGGCAAGACACTCCAGCGATTTCTTCTGCGAAGTCTGTTGTTCATCTGCAGAGCAGCACGACCCATTTCTGCTCGCCCTGCGTGGATCTGAGAGGACACCCACGCCCACACGACCCGCACACGAATGGTGAGGTCTGAGCCCGGGGGAGAAAAATCCACCCAGGTCTCGCTAGCCGTAGGAGCGTGGCAGTTCACCGCAGCCGCTCTCGCCTGGAGACGCCTCCCGCCTTGCTCCCTTCTCCCAGCAAACCCCATCTTTGCCTCCTGCTTCTCCCGCTCCTCCTGCTGTACCTTGTGCTTCAGCCCCCAGCAGCTCTTTGAATGTCCTCGCTCCTCTCTCTTCTCTCATGGCCTCACCGAAAGCTCTTTTTCTACTGGGGGTATGAGAAAGCACCAGCTCGGCAAGGCAGAAGGCAACTCCTTGACTTACCCTACACCTAGTGAGAAGGCATTCCCATCTCAGACCTGCTCCTTGCACACACACCTGTAGAGCAAAATGTACCCAGCACTATTCTTCTTCCCGGCCACGCTCATTTTTTGAGTACAACAGCTTCCAAACAGGACTGTAAGTCCAAAAATATCGGCATCCATCCTGCTGCCAATGGGTTCAAGCACCGCACAACCCCTTGCGTCCAAGTCCCACCAGCTCCTTTGTGCCAGGCAGTGTCGATAAAAGCACTGATCCAGGCACAACGGGCAAATAACACCTGGCCTTAGTGAAAGAGAGACGAGTCAAACACAGACTCGGATCTGTAAGTATGGCTGATGTCAAACCAGCGCTTAGAAGTACAGCCGTTAACTAACAGCCTAACGAGGGCGGAAAGATCCCCACGGGATCTTCATGTAGTCCGAAGGGGAGGAGGAGGAAGACTCAAGAAGAGGGTAAGTCTCGCAGAGGTGGGAAGAGGAGGAGACACAACCGGAGCGTGTGCTCCTCTGACACCATGTACTGGGGACAGAGAAAGAAGGGAAGGCAGATCAAACAAAAGATGAAGCCACGGCAAGACTGTCAGAAACCCTAACGAGGAGAGAAGAGAGCAAAAGCAGAGTGGGAGATCTAACACGCAATTAGTGGATACGTACGTGTCAATAACTAAGAGGGACACCTGACAGAGGACAAGGACAGTATATAAAGCTGGAAGAACCTCAGCAAATCTACTAATGTCAGTGAAACTGAGAAAACACAAGCAACTTATTTTCCCTTCAGGAGGGAGTAAAAAAGCACAAGGACATCATTCGAAGAGCAAAGGCTTACGATGGCAGATCTTTGGCAGCTCTCAGCCCCCAGCCTTTCTTCTCAGTGAGGATCACTTCAACATCTGCATGTTGTTTCTTCTGGAAGCGCCTGTTGGAGCAGTAGTCGCCGTTTGGGCACCTGGAAGAACTAAGGGAAGGAAACGGAACAAATCAATTCCCAGCAAGACAACAGCAATAACAGAAACAGCTCAGATGGAAAATAGATACCAAGGCACCATAATAAATTCAGTGTAAAACCTTCAAACGTGTTTTGCTATAAAAAGCATAACCATCTGACTGTCAATGTGCAAATGCAGACAATTTATTTCTGGAAGGAAGATAAAAACATTTGGAATGCGAATGCCGCTGTACTTCTACGTCCTATCAAAATGGGATGAATTGGCCTCTCCTCCCCCCGTTTTAGGGGTTCTTCCCCCAAGATATCCCCTTCCCCTACATCTACTGCCTGGGCTATGAAATAAAAAAAAAAAAGGGCAGGGCCTCTGCCAAGTAATTCCTCTCCTTCCACCCCAGCTGGTGACAATCCATGTGCCAGGGGGCGAATCCCACTAGGCGCCCCGTCCCCTGCCTCCCGCTCACGTGGAGCTCCCTCTTCTCCCAGCCTCTTCCAGGAGGGAAAAGGAGACGACGGCTGTAGCCTGGTGAGGCTCTGGGGAGAGGAGAGAGATGCAAAAGGAGAAATGAAAGGAAATAAGGATATCAAGTAGAGCTACATTTGCATTTCTGACTCCCACCAACCACGCTTATGATGGACTAGAGTTAAGGCTGAGGAGCAGAAGACTCCAGGCATTTGTAGCGGGTTTTAACAGGGGGTTGCTAAGGTCTAGCCTCCTGCAGAAGATCTAAGGTCAGACGCTGGTACGTAGGCTCTGAAGATCACTCCACACCAGCCAGTGAAAATGAGAGCGCACAGAAAGCTTGCTGCCACCGCCCAGGAAAGTCTGAATTCCTTTAGGGGCTCCCCGGTCATCTCATGGACAACACTGCCCAACGCTGGCAACTCATGAAACACTACTTACCACTCTATCATGAGCAGGCGATTGAGACAGTCTTCTCCACAAGCAACCTCCCCCTGAGCTCGCTCTTCTTTGGAGAGAGGAGGGCATTCACACAGCATTCGCTTAATATCCCGGTGAGATTTGTTCTTCTTCCTGTTGAAGACAAGTCATTGAAATACAGGTTAGACAGCATCTGGGTAGGGAAATTACTCCTCCATCTTTATCAGTTGTTACCGGAGGACATTAATTTATTCTCTAGAAACAGGGCATATGGATTGATTACCTTTGGAGAACCACAAGACGGTACAGGGGTAACCAAGGACACTGGTTTGAGTGGGAGGTGATGGCCTTCTGATCACAAAACACGAGTTCTCAGAAAGACATCCCAGGATATTTAACTCTTTTTTTTTACCTTCTCCTCAATGTCCACAATTCAGTTTTACTTCCAAAGCAGATCACAGAATCATAGAATCATTAAGGTTGGAAGAGACCTCTAAGATCATCGAGTCCAACCATCGACCCAACACCACCATGCCCACTAAACCATGTCCCTCAGCGCCTCATCTACACGTCTTTTAAATACCTCCAGGGATGGGGACTCAACCACTTCCCTGGGCAGCCTGTTCCAATGTTTAACCACTCTTTCAGGAAAGACATTTTTCCTCACGTCCAATCTAAACCTCCCCTGGCACAACTTGAGGCCATTTCCTCTCGTCCTGTCGCTTGTTACTTGGGAAAAAAAAACAACCCCCACCTCGCTACAACCTCCTTTCAGGGAGTTGTAGAGAGAGATGAGGTCTCCCCTCAGCCTCCTTTTCTCCAGGCTAAACAACCCCAGTTCCCTCAGCCGCTCCTCATAAGACTTGTTCTCCAGTCAGGTGTTTAGAGAGCGATGAGGTCTCCCCTCAGCCTCCTCTTCTCCAGGCTAAACAACCCCAGTTCCCCCCCGCTCCTCATCAGACTTGTTCTCCAGACCCCACACCAGCGCCGTTGCCCCTCTCTGGACACGCTCCAGCAAAACGTCCTTCTTGTCGTGAGGGGCCCAAAACTGAACACAGTGTTTGAGGTGCACACGCACACCCACCCGGAGGAAGGACTAAAACTCCTTCATTTCATCATATAAGTAAAGAAGCCAATTTCCAGAAAATTCAGTGCCTGATTTTTCTAGACAGAGGCTTTCTCACTAACATAGTACCAGTTGTAAGGTTTAAATTAAAAGGATGAACTTCAATTAGCCTCTCCTGAAATACTCTATTCTGTAATCATATATAATACTACGGAGACAATCTCTCTCCCAACCTTAGCTATTCTGTAATATCCATTTGGTTTCGCTGATCCAAAGGCCAGGAGAAAACCTATATTCTAAAATATTAATATATAAACCATTAGTTGAGCGCACGTACCATTTTAAAATAGCTTTCTTTTAATAAAGCAAATTGGAGGGTTTAGCTACTTAAACCTCTGCTTTACTGCCAAATAAGACGATGAAAAAGAAAACAAGAAAACTGCAGTTATAGAAAAGGTAGGGCATCAAAGGCATCTACTGATATTCCAGTTGCCATGAGATGATTAGGGAAATGCTTTGGAGCGTGGATCCCAGCAAGACAAAAAAAGGCGTAAGAAAAAAACCCTGGCTTGAAATAAATAGCAGGTTTTATCTGCAGATAAGTGGTTGGTATTCACACTCTGAATCAAGAATATCTTTTAAAATGCATTTATTTTAAAAAAAAAAAGCCATTTTGGTGAACAAAAGATGTGGCAAAGCCTTGAGTGTAAGACCCCAACACATGAAGCCCAACACGGGTTTAAATTGGCCCATGTGAAGCGTCCTACCAAGCCGGTGCTGCGCCCGGTGCCCTCGCTGCCGGCGAGCACCGGCGCTTGGTACCCAAAGGTTCGGCAGGAACGCCGTTACTCAACCACCCTTGGGGAATCACGAGACGAAAAAGGACCACGAAGTGAAACGAAATGGCAAGATTTTGAACAGGCATAAATCATCAGAAGGCTTTACCACAGTCTGTGCCAGGAATAAGAATTGGTTACAAGCTCGCACGGTGCTCTCACCTATGCTTTAAAGCCAGAGCGAGTATTTTTTTGGCAAGGATGAAGGTCGTTGAGCCCTGAAGCAATACACTTACTGATCATCCCCGAAGCTCAGAAATAGATGACTTTCTTGTCAAGGGATAACATCCTGTTCAACGTTCCCATGCAAAAAGGGAAAAGGATAATCTGCAACCAACAGCTACCCTCTGATATTTCAAATTACAGTCTGTTAGATCTAAAATAACTCATCTGAGATGACAAGTAATTACATGTAAGTAACCAAAGCCTTCGGAAACACACATTGTTTGTCCGAAACCTTTCCCACACCCAGACAGATTTCCCTGCGCCTTCGGAGAGGGGGCGAGCTGGCATTTGGGGACACTAAACAGGCAAGAACTGGCAAGCCCGGAGGTGACGCCGAGATATGGCTCTGGGCTTTAATGTAGCTGCACCAAGTTCAGATGAACGGTGGACAACAGAGAAGAAGGCAAAAAGCTTGGAAAAAAATTAATTACTCTTAAAAATTACCATGGATACAAGAATAACATGTTCACTTGGTGCCGATGCCAGTAATCCCACGTGTGCAAGTCCTGCCTGATACCCAAATCAACACTAGACAAAGGGGATGCTGCAAGACAACTGAGAAGAGGGTATAAATAAACCATCCTCCCCCTGTATCTCCCAATCTTCCACCTCTTCTCATCACCAGGGCCTGTCTGGGCCCAACCAGGGTTTTCTGTTTAGGAGAAGAGACCCAGGAGAGGTTTAACACTCACCCAGCATCGTCTCCTCTACGAGCAGCTTTGCTAGACGTCGGGAATGCGACATCCCTCCCTCCCTCCAAATTATGCCAATTCGGCCATTAAAAAAAAAGCTATCACAGAGTCAAATATAAGTTAAAATCTAAAATTGCTATAGGCAAGGAAAAAAAAAAAAAAAGGTTAAAATATCAGTTACCTTTCTGTCAAGTACACATTCTCCTCAATAAGGTCAAAGTAACAGGGCATCTTTCCTTGCTTGGCAAACTCCTTCCAGCGCTGGGGGTCTCTGAAGTCGTCCATGATACACAACCGACCGACCATGGAGGAGTCCTGCGGCGCCGACTCCACTTGCTCTCCCTCCGGTTTCACCTTCTTCTTCTCCCTCAAGTCCACGTCGCTCTCAGAGTCGCTCTCCAACTCCGGGCGTCTTTTTTTTGGTGGACCTCGTTCTTTCGCATCGTTTTTTTCCAAAACCTTCACCTCCTCCTTCTTCTCCCCACCAGGCACCGGCTCCTTGGTCGAATTGCTGCTGATCTCGTGTGCCTGCACTGAGCCTTTTTCTTTCTGCCCGGGCACCTGGCATTTACTTGAGGGGCTGGGAAAACGAGGCTTGCAGTCATCATCCCAACGGTCATCCTCTTCATACTCCTCATGATCCTCCGTTAGAGAATCCGGTACTTGCCCTTGAATTCGTTCGTAATTAACTGCAGAAGGTCTGCTAGCGGACCTCGCATCCCAGTAACTGTTGCCTTGCCAGTAACTCTGAGAGGCACCGTACGCTCCTGAGCCCGGCTGGTAAACGTAGCCTGAGTAGACCCCGAAGCTGCTATCTGGCTGCTGGTAGGTGCTACTGGGCTTCTCCGGCTGGGAAAAGTCCCAGCCCAAACCACCCAGATCCTCCGTCGTATGAAAACCATCCAGCCTGGAGAAGTCTCCGAGGCCAGACTGGTTAAGCCCACCCTTCCCTTGCCTACTGTCTGGCTTGGAAGAGCTCGTCTGGTGTCGGGATTTATCGGCACTTTCGAAACTCTCCGGCAGACAAAATTGCTGCTCGTCTTGTCGGCCGATCGGTCTACCAACGGACATCAGCTCCTTCAACATTATTCTCTCGTCCGGGTTGGGTTTGCCGTGGGAGTCTGCCGTCAGGTCTGCCTGGCTCGTACTGTCAACACCGTCGCTCTGAGGCTGGCACGGATCCGGCCGCAGCTCCTCCATCTCCTTCCTGCTGAGCTCGGTAGAAGTTGCCGGACTCTTCTCCATCCCTCTAGGAGAACATCTGCTCTCTACTTGTGGACCACCTTTACTCGCCATATTCTCCGATCTCTCTTCATAGTAGGGTCTACTGGGCTCCGGTCGCTCGTCATCCCAGTGGTCGGAGAAGCGTCTGTTGCCCTGGCTGCTCCGCGAGGAGCCAGGGCTGCTCTCCTCCATCGCGATGGTCGAGTTCTTTGGTACGACCACAACAGACTGGAGCCGTTTCCGTGGCGCGCCGTCATCAGAATCCGAGTCCTCCGTGTCACTGTCTTCACTGCCCCCCTCGCTGTCGCTCTCCCCCGTGTCAGAGTAATCGTCGTGGCCAGTGGGAACAAATTCAGCAGCGTTGCCGCTGCTGTCACACGTTGGGGCTTGAGTTACCGTCTCCATTTCTTCTGCAGTGACAATGACATCGCAAGAGGGAAACAAGGCATCTGGAAAAGCCGAAGCCACCAAGGGCTCGTTTCCCTCGTCCTTCTCGGCCAATATGCTGGGACACCGAACTCTCAAATCATCTGGCCCAACTCCCTCGGTGGAAACAGCACTTTCTTCCACGACCTCTCTGCCGCGGTGCTCCAGCGGCACTTCCGAATAGTACGAATGTTCATCTTTGACCGATGGCTTGCCTTTTGCCGAACCAAGATCAACGTGCTGAGTATACAACTCGAGCACCTCTTCGGCTTCCAAATGCTGCAGCAGCTCCTGGCGTCCATCCGGCGGTGGCACGTCCCATTTGGAAGAGACGCTTTCCTCCGGCACGGGATGGTCCGACCTGAGCCTTGGGGAACAGCCATCCTGGGAGGGATCTGTGCTCGAGCTCTCCACTGCCAGGCTAATTTTATGGGAAGGATGACCGTGCTCATCGTCACAGGCAGACTTTGAGTGGTGATCCTCCGTGCTCTCATAATCGCACGTGACGGTCTGCGGCTCTACCTGCATGTCCAGGAAAGTCTCGGACGTAACTTTTAAATCTGCTGGTTCTGCTTCAATTTCAACTTCCGAATGATACAAAGCAGGGGTGGCATCGTCTGAAATGTAGCAAAAAACTGGTTCTTTGGTTTTGTCACATAGAGTCGCCTGATCATCCACCTTCTTAAGTACAGTTTTAGTGTGATCTACATTCACGACGGGCAAAGGGATGGCTTCCCCTTGCTGCTGCGGGACTGGAGCCTCCGCTTGCCTAAACAGACTGTTGCACTCACTGGACTGGACCCGAGAATCGTCCGGCTCTTGCTCTCGAGACGCATATGTGCTCTCAAACCCATTAGATGGCAACGGATACGACGGACTCGTCTTCACGACAGGCAACGCTTCTGACCGACACAGGCTATCGTCAGAAGACGCGGCGACATCCTCTGTTTTGGAGGCACTGGAAGTTGCCAAACCATCAGCCCTACCCTCCGGGGACCCATTTACACTCAACTCCATGGGGAAACACGTTCTTAATTGATCGTGCTTTATCTTTAATAAAGTTTCTTGCTCCTTAACACTGTCGTGGCATTCACTTCCTGTAAGTTCCTCGGACTTTGAGTTAGCAAAACCCACTTTCGATTCGTCTGCCCTTTTAAAAGCAGGCGAATCGTTTAACTGTTTTAATGGAGAAAGTGTCTTTTCCCTTTCAAATTTTTTCGCAATGGACACCCTGATCTCATTGCTTTTTAGACAAGAGGTCTCTAAATCTAGAGAATTAGACTGCTGTTTTATTTCTTCGATCGATTCTGTACAACAGAAAGAACTCTTAAATTTATCAGGCTTTGGTGCGGGGGTCTTTGAAGGGGTGGACTTATAACGGGAGGAATTCACATTACTGTCGGGCTTAGAATGGGATGTCCCCTTTCGATAGCCTAGCTCATCAAGGGGAGAGCACCTTTTGGTTACTTCACTTTCTGAAGTCCTTTTTGAATCTCTATCTGCTTTCGAAGAAGACCTTCCTCTCCTCTCCACGTCGGCGTGAGACGACTCTACTTTGCTGTCCCTGTCCGACTTAGAGTAAGAAGTCCTCGAGTCTCTGTAGGAGGAGGAGTGGGATGACGTACGCCTCGAGTCGCTCGATCTGGAATGTGTCCTCCTGTACTCGTCCTCCGAGTCCGAGCTCTCTCGCGCCCTGTTGTCTGCATACGAGCGGGAATATCTCGACCTTTCCCTGTACGGGGAGCTCCGATGGTATCTGCGGTCGGATTCGTAGTAATGCGAACGCTCCGACCTCGAGTAGGAAGAGCTGGTTCGGGAGCCCCGATCGGATCGGGAACGGGAATGAGACCGGCTTCGCCTTCTGTCTCTGTCTGACCGAGAGCGAGAGGACGCATACCGCGAATCTCTTTCCGATTTTGAATAGCTCGAGTACTTCTCATCCCTGTCCGACCTGGAGCGCGAGGAGGACTTCCCCAGGTCGTCACCTCTGAGGGACGCGGAGCTTCTTCTGGGATCTCTCTCCTTTTCCGTACTGGATATCTTCAGCTCGTGTGACCGCTGGCTGGAGGAGGTCCTCACCGAATCTTCATCGGACTCGGAGCCCAGCAGCGTGCCGTCGGACTGGGAGAACTTCCTCTTCGACCCCTGCCTCCGGGAGCAGAGGGGAGCACCCTTCGAGCTGTCGGAAACCTCATCCTCTTTCCCAATATGGGAATCTTCCTTCTGTGGAGTTATTTCCGTCTGCTCGGGCGTGTTTTGAGCTACACGTTCTTCCGAACCGCGCGATACCGCATCCTGCTTGACGTCCGGTTCCAAAGCCTCCTTAGGTACCGCGTGGCACGGCTCCTTCGAAGCGGGGACTTCGGCTTCCACGGGCGGCAACAGCAACAGCGTCGACATCAGCGTTACCGGCAGTTGTGGCAAGGCTGCCGCTGCAGGAACCGGCATCGATGCTGCTGGCGACACCGTCAGCGGAGGGGGAGGCGGGGGAGGCGGTGGCGTTGAGGGAAAGTCCGCGGCCAATGTCACTGGTTCCGTTACCGGTGCCACAGCCGGCGGCGGTGGCGGTAGTGTTGCTGCTGTAGCTGGTGGCGGTTTTGCTGTGACATTAAGTAAATGTTTTTTAAAATGGATCTTCCCTAATTCTACCTTCGGTTTTGGAGGTGAAGACTCCTCAGCTGAACCAGCGGCATCCCCCAGGTCCATTTTGCTTTTGGGGTTAAAGTCAGTCTGAAGGGGGACTGCTGGGGAGTTCTGAGTTTCATTTTGTTTCTCGTTTCCGAGACCAGTCAGAAATCTATTCGGTAAGGTTTTCTTGGTTAAACTAAAGCTGAAAGACACCTTTTGTCTTCCTTGCTCCTCAAGGTTAACCTTTGTTTTGGTGCCTTTGGGCAAAAAGCGACTCGAAGCAACGCCTTTGAACACTGGGCCTTTGATAAAGCCAGCCTTCTGCACGGTTTCAGGCTTGCCCTGCAAAAGAAAAAGAAGACGCAGTTAGAGGAATCGTTTTTTTGGGGGGTTAACTCTGTTCTACAGGCACACTGAACCATTTTGTTTTACCTGGCGAATTTTTCATGACGATAAAATAGAAATTGATACCCTGGGCTGGAGTCTGGGATAGCACAGCCGCGCTGCCTTCTGCGCCTGGCTCGCTCTTGCACAAAATCAATTAAGCAGTCGTTCCCAGTTTGGAGCAAAACCTCCTCTGGGGTTTGGACTGAGGCTTTTTAACTGACTTATTAATGACCAAACTGAAAGTCCTTTTTTCATTTAATTCTTAGTTTTTTTATAAAGAGATAGGGTTCAACATATAAAGTTAATTGAAGAGATAGCACCACTTTATTTGTGCTGTTTCTGTGGTCCCAGGCTCCAAAATACCTGCATTTTTAAGCTTTAAGTGTGTTTGTTTTCACGTCCCAGGAGACTGCCCCTGGATGCATTTGGTTTCAGCATGAATCAGACTACCCAGAATTACAGCAGCCGTTTTAAGCCCCGTCCTTTCCCACCTCCTGCCAACAGCCTTAGCTCAATCATTAGTAATTCCTAATAAGGTTCCAGGCTCAGGCTTAGATCAGTATTAATATAAAAACCTCCAAGAATTCCCATCGGGACCCAGTCGTGCGTGATGACTCTGTCACCTCCAGGCCAACCGACTGTAACACGCTCCACGTGCACCTCACCAGAAGCTATCTGCTGTCTCCTGCCCAGGATCTCACTCGCCACCTTACAGTGAGGACCGTGCTACAGCAAGTCCGTTCGTTTTCGATGCTAATGAGCTGAAAGTCATCTTCTCCAGGACATTAAGAGCTCAGGATCTCCACCGAGAAAGCTGCTGTGACAGCACTCGCAAGTGAACCCCGGCTTTGCAAACGGAGCAAATCTAGAGCAACAAAGCTCCTTCAACATGGGAACCTCTTCCCTCACAGGATGCATTTATCCAAGCCCGAGATTAGCAATTTTCAGAGCATGAAGCACCGTACGTTTACCCGTCTTAGCATCCCTCCAACTATTTTAAAGCTTAGGGCTCGTCTGCGCAAAAGCTGTGTCGCAGGAGTGCAGTCCCTAAAGACGAACGTTGCCGCACCGTGGCAAAAGGGTGGTGTTGTCGACAGTCTTTATCCCCGCAAATCCAAACTGCATTAGCATAATTACGGTTTGTGTGAGAAGCATAACTCCAGTGGAAGCAGTTGTAGCAGAATAAAAACTGTACAGAGCTGGGTTTTACTCCCATAACTGTTGCATGAACACATCTTTGGCAGCAGCAGCGGTTTCCTGCAACCCACTGTGAATTATTACGTACTTTGTTATCCTTTAACTTTTGTAAAACAATGCATAGCAGCTCAGGCTAACGGCACCATAGTAAATTATTAAATAAGACATCGGTGGAATGGAAACCCCCACCTCATTCTATTTGCAGCCTTGGACATCATATATACAAAGATATCCTCATTTTTGATGAAACACACGGGGTTTTATTTTAATTGTGAAAACCGTGTCACGGTGTCCACCTGACTAGTCTCGGCTACCCAGCCCAGCACCATACACAACATTTGATCTTCCCCAGCAGATGATTAGCTGCATTCTGGAAAAAAACGGGTGCAAAAGATAAAAAAAGCACTCCTTTGAAATGGGTGTTATTTATCTGGGTGCCATTTCATGGATGCTTTCAAACGAGTGCCGTGGCTAAAAGGGCACCCAAAGGGTGACCTTGGAAAAAAGTGCATGTCCCCACGCTCGCCCAGCTCTGAAACGCGCTCCTCTCTCCACAACCACAGTCTCACAACCATCTCCAGAAAGTCATGCTGAAAATACTATCCCTGTTTTCAAAAGGATCCACACATCAGAAGTGATCCAGAGACTAATACACAAGTGTATATAAACTAATTCACGGAAACATACAGGACAAAATTAAGCGTTCAGTCCGTTTGGTACGAGTTTCTACATGTCTGAACGCTACTGAGACCACCCTCCCGTCGGACACCGGGCTCAGCCTCCCAAACAGCAAGGAAACATCGTTTTGTGGGTTTGCTGGGTCAATTATTATCCCTACGTGACCAGAAATTCCCACCTGACCTGTGTATATGTCTTGGGACAATGGAAAAGTGAGAGATCGGGTTCCTATCTTCATCCACACCCTGATGTCTAATGGAAGGAGCCTCCACAAATCTGAATCCAAATCCTTATCAGAGATTGGATTCACCTATTATGCCAATTATATATTAAAAAATAGTTTGTGTGTATATATAAAAATATAGCAAAAATATAATAAATACACTGCATCAGCATTCAAGAGGTTTTTTTCTTGCTACAACTTTTGTGAAAATATTTTACGTGCAAAATTCACAGTAATGGAAATCTGTCGATGTTTTGATCAAAATCTTTCTAACTTCAAGCGCAACAGATCTGAAATCCGAGCTCACACGTGAATAACTGGGTTTGGATACATCCACCTTCACACAAAACACAGGACCTGAAGGCAAAAAAGGAGCTGCTAAGCTTCTATTCCTCCCCTTGTCAGTGTCCATTCAGCAGAGATGATACATTTCAGAACAAATGTTTCGCCCTCAGGTGCCCACCCTTCCAGGGATTTTTTTTCTTAAATAACACCAAGTTTAACAAAACATGACTGACAGAATTTTACACATACTCCCCAGGTAGCTTTTGAAATTTCATAGGTAACAATTACTGGCAAAAGCTCTCTAGCAGAAGGGGGGTTCTCCTTCCTGTAATGTTTTACAGAAAGGGAGCGTTCCCCAAAACGTTGCTGTGGGTATTTTGCAGAAAGGAAAAGGCGACAGAAGCGCACGCTGCGTATTCAGCAGAGGTACACGATTACCGGAGCAGCAGTGCTCCTGCAGCTCTCGGCTCGCTGGGAACGTAGGGAGGACGCGCAGTATGCTCACCAGCACAGCCGGAACAGATACGGTCCTACAGCACCAAAAATTATCAGCAGCAGTCGTTCCTATGCCGGGATACTATAAACTGTTCCAGTCCCTGGATGTTTTTCTCCTTTCCCCTTAAATTCATTGAGTCACACAGCAAAACTGTGAATTTTTTTCACAGATTAAGTCCTTAAATAATGATCTTTTCGTGGTGCAGAAAGCAGCACCTACCTACACCGAATGACTCAAGGGCACCGTTGCGCTCTGCTATCGCATCCCCGTGTGTAGATGGCAGAAGTGGCACTGAAGGTGGTTCCCTTCTTTCCCGGATTTAACCACTGAACTAGAGGCACCCCAGAATAACATCAGTTTGCTTTATCTGGACCCTCAGTCTCTCTTGACTCAAGAAATCTACAGGTCAAAGTAACCAGGTTGGGCTAACGCATGTCTCAGGAGCTACATCGAGAAAGGAATCAGTTTTACTCACCTCATTTTCTTCTTCTCTATTGCAATCCAGCCGAGAAAACATGCAAAAGAAAACATAAGAAGAAGGTGTAAACTTCAGGCAGAAACAAGAAACGTAACGTTAGATCCCCGGTACTGCAAACGGGATGGACCCGGGGACACAGGGCGAGGGTAACACCAACCCTACAAATAATCCTGCTGCAAGAGATGTCCCTACCAACATCACCCAACGGTCAAGCAGACACGCCAACCGCCTCTGAGGGGGAGCACGGCGTAGTTTTGAAGCCCAGTAATTTCAACGCTGAAAATTCTGCATGGACTTTGACAGAGCAAACATTTTTTGAGCAAACTGCTGTCTTGGTGTTGTCTTTTGAGGGTCTGCAAACCAGCCAGAACCCTATTTCAGCAGACACTGCAGGGGTAAGGCAGCTATAAAAATCTTGAAAATGAGATGTAGGAAGCTGAATTTGGTTTTCTTTCAATTTTAGTGTTTTCCTTAGCAGCCCAGAAACAGTGAAAGTATCTGCCTCTCTCATCGCCAGAAACTAAAGATCCTTACGAACACCTTATTGCTGTATGACCTACTATGGACCTGCAGCCCGGGCTATTTACCATGATGCTTAGAATTAATTAATCGGCACTCTGGAAGCTAGCCACTCGACAACGAACTGATTTGGAGCATTACCTTGATCCCAACCTAACCTGCCAATGCTGAGCCAACGGGAAAGCCCAACTTTCCTTTGCTTCCCCAAGTTCTCCTACACGGAAGGAGGAGGAAGAAGAACGTGACCACTCTCCTCTTGCTCTGCCCGATACCCAGGAGAGCTTCAGCGAGTTTCTCGGCCCCCAAAGGAAAACTACAGAAGCAGATGTAGAAGTTTCAGTGGTTACCGATACGCCTTAACCGAGATGTCAACAGCTCATCTGTTTTACCTGTTATTTCCTCTACCAGAAGTCCAAAAGCATTCTCCAGCGCTCTAACCTTTACGTTTGCATGCAGACAGCCTTTTCCCTATCTGCCTTACAGGGGGAGTTTTCATCTGGACCTTTGCTAGATTTTATCAGCTTTTGAGCCGTAATTCGGCCCTGTCGTGGTGACACGGTGAAAGATTTCTTGCAGAAAAGGTTCGCAGATTTCACTTCAAACGTCAGCGAATTGAGAAGTTATCGGTTTCTGGAAAAGAAAGCCAAAGCTCTCGGTTTCTGCGTAACCCAGGCAGGGACCCGACACGGTGACGGCACGGCAATAACCACCTATTTCCCCATTTAAACCATCATCAACAGAGAATTAGGAGCAACCTGCTAGAAAGACCTATCACCAGCAGTAATATACTCCTGCCTCTACGAAGGCTCACGTCCAATTCATAAAGCTTATTAATAGTTTATAAATTATTCTTACAGCAGCAAGAACAGGGTTTGTTTTCATTGAGGAAACATGAGCCGTGAGTTTAAGCAAGCTGTGGAGTACACCAGGGCACGTATGTGATTTAATGGGGTTAAGTAAGCCATGAATTCAAAATACTGCCGGTGCAGAGGAGGTCAGAAGCCCTCGAAGAACAGCACTTTGATACAAATTAGCGCCTAAAAGGAGGTTTCATCTTTAGGATCCCAGAAAGTGAAGTTTTAGACTTCCAGGACACCGACGTTGTTGACAGTCACATATTTTGAGTGCTAAACCCGAGCGTTTACAAGGGTGAGAACAGCACTGAGGTCTAGTGTAGCCAAGACCCAACATGAACGTTGGACCCGATGATCTTAAGAGTCTTTTCCAACCTAAATGATTCTATGATTCTATGAAGATTTTCAGTACATCCATAACCAGACGTGTTGTGATACAGCGCAGAATAACAACCAGCAGATGAAAGCTGGTGGTCCTAAACCAAAAAGAAGTAACTGTCTCTTTATACAGAAGAACACGGATTTAAGTAGCTATATATTGGGAGACAGGTAATGAAGGTTAGTATTTATAATAAATATCCTGCTGTAAGACTAAAGTAACTAATTCCTCTTCACAAGCCATTTTTGCTCGTTGCTAAAACGTCGCATAAAACCGGTATTAAGCTAAAATGCTGACAAGCACACAAAGTAAGTCTCCAAAAACCGAAAGCTAAGAATAAAATTTTCCCTTCCAAGAGGGCATGCCTACAAAACAGCAGGAATCACAGCACCATCGGGGCCGGCTCTAAGCTCACGTCCTGCTCAAAGCTTGCAGCCACAGCAGCAGATTTCCCGGACAAGACGCCGGGTTGGTAGAGCAGCCTCAGCGTCTGCCACCTCGAAACAGCCGCTCCACGAAGGCGGACGGCAGAGCACCAGCTTCTGCATGGGGGGTCAAAGCAGGCAAGAAAACTGCAGAACACTGAAGGGGAAAAAAGATAGTTGAGATCCTTCAAAACCCAGAGAAAATCCTGCAGGAGAAAATGAGCTGCATTAGGAAATCTTGCTGCTCTACAGCCACTTGGTAGCGAGACTCGTCTGCCCTTGGGGGGGGAAATTGCTAAAATTTCAGCAGCTTAAAGGGTGGCAAGTGAGAAATCAAAATATCGAAAGACAGAAAACAGTTAAGAAGGGACCAAACAGAAGATGTTGCATGAATTTAACTGGTTGTTTAAAATAAAATACGTAAGAATGAAGTAGATACGACATTACTGATAATGTATCTTGTATAGTCCTAGATGTCTACACGAACAATTTAATTTCTACTGGACAGAGAAGCATTTCTTCTCAGTGAGGGAACAGTAGCATTCCCTCTCTGCAGCGGTATTGCAGCCAGTTATGCCCAAGCGCTTGCCCCTCCTGAATTACCCCTCCATCACCAGCTAAAGCAGCCGTCGGCAGCAGAAAGTCGTCCCACCTCGCTACGGGTGCCCTCGCGCAGGTTAACCTTAATAAAGGAGGCAGCTGGCTTGGGTTACGGATCACATTTCCATCTACAGCCTCTTCCTTCGCCCCAGATGAAAAAAAATATAAATAGATTTCCAAAATTAGTGAACGCGTTGCTGTTCGCTCGAAAACCTTTTGCCAAATTCCTCCCACACTGGGTCTGAAGTTACATAAAACCCCCACGTTACGAGCCTGAGGAAGGAGCTGGCACGCAGGAGACCCGGCACAACAAGAGCGTACGCGAGCTGGGTGGGGATCCATCCAAACACACAACCCGCAGGTTTTCCAGCAGGTTTCCAGCCCCAGAGGTTTAGAGCAATCCCACTTGTTTCCCTCCGGCTGCACCTTGCTATCTGGAGGTACATAAAAGGAAGACTGTTATGAAAATTAGCATTGAATTCATGCACTTAGTGGCTCATTTCTGTGAATGTCAAGAGAAAGGGCTTGTTAAAACCCAAATTAAAACTCAAAGCAAAACTGAAGACCTCTACAAACAAGTGGTTAATGAATTAAAAAAAAAAAAAAGCAAAACAGGGAACTGTACCATCTTTTGTTTATCTACAGAAGCCCTATGTATTAGTATTTTTAAAAAAAAAAACAATTAAAAATCAGTCTGCCCCTAAACTAAACTTTAAACGAACAGTTTTGCCAGTCAGTTCTGATTAAGTAATGACAAATACCGGTCAGGTAACAGGGAGATGTGCTTGCACGCACCCCACAAATGCACAACTGCACCCAGCAGCAACCACGGCAGCAAGTAAATCCCAAATCCCCACGCCGTACAGAGGAGTTTGTATTTGCAGGAAAGCTTTTTTTACAGCTATGGACCCACATTTCTACCAAAATTCTTTATATAAATTTATCAATGGCCTTACATAGCATTCTTTTACCATGGTCTTATTCCTTCAGCTTTCCTACTCGTGGAAACGTCCCAGGTCTGTCACGGGCACGTTAATAAAAAATAAGGTTGTATTTTAATTCTGAGGTTCAGCAGCTTTTGGATTTCTTAGATGCTTAAACAGCTTGACATGAATGAGACTTCTCTCCTTTTTAAGATGTAATCCACACTGTAGTCTGAACTATACGCAGGCTTTGCTTATGCTAAAAAAGCAAACAAAAAAAAACGCCTTCAGGCTTCTAAAGTCTAAATGACAAATGCTGGTCTGCATTAAGACAAAACTTGAAGAGCCTCACCTCCCATATGCCCTCTTCCCCCCCCCCCCCTTCATTTTCTTCTTCTTAAGAGAGAAAAATCTGGAAGCCTAAAGCTTTTCTTATCTAAACATCTGCAAGACTAACAACCCTGCAAGCCTAAAAAGCCCCAGCCCGAGCAGGCACTCAGCACCCCTTGCTTTAAGCTGACGACGGGGTATTGTGCAGGCATTAGCATAGGTCCATCTGAAAGCCTCTACCTGCCTCGGCAATTACCTTTCTTTCTGAAGGAAGGGAACAAAATGCAAAACCTCAGCACCCAACCCGAGGAAATCCCGACCTCCAGACTGTTTTCCTTAGGCCAGGTTAGCCAGAAACGTCCTGCCAGCGTGGGCGTGCCGATGGACTTCCACAGCTGCCCATGGATCCACCGACCTGCATCCACAACACCAGGGCTAAGCAAACCAGAAGGCGACGCAACAAATTTAACACCTCGGGAGGGGGTGGAAATCTGCAGTTCCAGCAAGATCCTAAAACCAAAAAGGAAATTATCTAGGCAGATTTCACCGCTGCCCGGCCGGCGACGGAGGGCTGCGCCTCCGGGCTTCTTGCCGCCGCCGTGCACCATGATGCTGTAGATGAAGTTCACTTGGCTGCTGCTCTCATTCAGCTCCTGCCATCCTCGAAACCGAACGGTTTGATAAAATACTTACAGGTCTGAAGTGCTACTGCCCACCCGGTTTATTAGTCTCTAATGGGGCCGGCTAGAGATAAAAAACAAGGACAAATGTGCAGCGGTCCCTACGATTAACTGAAATACGGTGCTGAATTGCTGTGAAATCTTTTGTACGGAGCACTGTGCTTTTGACACCCGAATGCGTCCCTGCTCCCAAAAATACTGCACCACAACCAGATAATGTACAACCAGAAAAAAAAGCAGGGAAGTTAATAGACAATCCTGCTCCTTCCCCCAAAAAGCCAGGGACAGAGGGAAGGCTAAAGC